GCGAGTGTAAAATAGTGTGTTTCACAGAGACTCGTACCAAATAACCACTATTATCCCTAGCCCCACGGTGGGCGCCAAACTGTTTACCCGAAAAACGGATAGAGTTAAATTTATACGTAATTCTAAGGGTACGTGGTATAGCTTGGTACAAATCGGAAAAGTAAGTAAAAATATATAGAATATTGACTGTATAAAGGAATGAAATACAAACCAAATTGAGTATTGAATGATTTATAAACAATCAAGATGAATCAATGTCCAAGTTCAAAAAATGATAATCTCAACTATATATCAATGTAATAATCTTTAGAATGTGAGTGTATTAATGTTTGCTTCTCTGGATCTGCTCTCCTTTACATAAATGATACCCACTCTTAATATAGTGGAAAAATTTTACTTTGGATATAATAAAAAATACATAGTGTGGATCCCATGATAGATTAGTTAATTAGCTTTTTCTTAATTCCCGCCGAGATTATCTCCCTAAGTGCGGCTGCAACGGCTCTTTGTCTCTTAGCTCGATCTTGGTCGGTTTTGGTATTGGTCGATCTTCGGGTCTCGAGCTCGATATTGACTCGGGCTCGATATTGATCGGTCTTTGGCTCTTGAGCTCGATAACACTACTTCATATCATAGCTCGATATTGACTCGAGGATCGGTCCATGAGTTTTGAGATCGATAACCTGGATTTACTTCTTATCTCGAAGCTACAGTGACAACCCTCGGTTCATCACGTTCCAACCTCAATTAATTACACGAAGGAAAAACTCGGATTTGACCGTATACAATATTGTCTCGTGTCTAAAAGAAAAAAAGCTAAAGTATATTAATTTATGTAGTATTAGAATTCTATCCACCTAACTACTAGGTCCGTCTCCTAGTAGTAATATTTACTCCACAACTCTTAATCAAATATCTATTCTGCATTAACTATATATTGAATGTTAGTTTTTAGTTATAATGAAATTAAGTTTTTATAATATTTCATTTTTTTATCTCTTGTCTTTGGATTTTTTTTTTGTAATTAAATTTTTTTATTTACCAATTGAAAATATTTACAGAGTGTTTGAAAACACCCAGCATATTTGGACAGTTGGCCCCAAATATACTAGCACCAACAAAAACAACAAGTCACTAGAGCAACTAAACAAAGGCTATCTATGGATAGAAATTGAGAGCCTCCAACTTCTTGATCAACCGAGCTTTTAGGCTTCCTCTGCAAAGAACCTCTTACACTATCAACCTGATAATTGTCTCTTGATTCCTTGTCTTCTGTTAAAAAATTCTCCTATTCCTCTCTTTCCATATATGATATATACAACATGCTAGTGTAATTCTATAGATCTCAGCCTCAACACTCCTTCCTTTTGAATATCTTATCGTCTATAAGATCTCATTTTGCCAGTTTATTACTCCTCTATTAATATTTTGCCACTGTAATAGTTTCTTCCATATGACTGTATAAAATGCACACTCAAAAATATCAGATAATTAATGTCTTCATTCGCAGCAGTGCACATAGGACAAGTAAGTTCAGTTATCAACCCCCAATGTGCTAACCTGTCTCTAGTAAGAAGTCTCTTGTGAGCAGCCAACTACATGACTAAGTTCCATTTAGGTGCACCTAGACTATTGCATACTATCTTCCTCCATTCGACTTTTGCAAAATCACCTCTCAATTATCCATATATAGTTTTAATAGAGAACTTGTCAATCATTTATATATCGCTCTCCACATATCCAGCTTGGTTCAAGAACTTTTTGCCTTCAGGATCCTCTGTACCACCCATGTAGCTCGACTTGTTCTAGCTTCCCGGACTCGATCACCTTTTATATAAAAATGATGGACTCATATAACCCATAGCTTGGGAAGAAATTCAAAAATAACCAGATTTACAAGTGGTAATGGAAAAATAGCCATAGTTTTAAAAGTAATTGAGATTTAGCCACTTTTCATGTAAAGATAAATCTGAACGAAAATACTGTTAAAAATTCGAAAAATATTTCAGCATAATATACTGGAGTTCCAGTATAATATACTGGTCCAGCATAATATGCTGGAAGTTTATACACAGATGCTCCAATCTCCAGTATATTATTCTGGAACTTTCCGCATGTTGGAGTTCCAGCATAATATGCTGGAAGTTCATACACAGGTGCATCAATCTCCAATATATTATGTGGGACCAGTCTGTGTTGCAGCAAAATAGTGACTATTTTTTAATGACTTTATAAACGGTGGCAATTTTTGAATTATCAGTCCGAAAACTGGCTAGCCCGTGCTATTTTTACCATAGCTTGTCCTTTTTGTTACTTAGACTCCACAACAGCTTACAAATTACAGCATTATTCCATGTATATATGTCTAAGATGTTGAGCCCACCTGCAGTTCCTGGATAACACAACTTATCCCAAGCTATTAGTGCCTTTTCTGAAACCTCAACCCCCCCTCCCAGTCCACAAGAACCTTCTACAAGTAGCCTCAATCAAGTGGACTACTTTTTTTGGTAATACAAATATCTGGGACTAGAAAACTTGTATTGAGAATAAGACAGTTTTAATCAGCTGGACTCTCCCGGCATATAATAGAAATCTAGTAGTCCGCAATTTTATCCTACCCAGAATTTTATCTATTAGAGTTTGGCATTGTACTACAGACACTCTCTTTGTACTGAGAGGCACTCTCAAATATCTAAAAGGCAACTCACCCTTCACGAATCCTAGAACTTGCATAATGGCACACTGATCATCTGAACTTGCTCCACCAAAATAAATGAAACTCTTCTCAATGTTAGCAGTCAGGCCAGAAACATGAGAAAATATTTGAAAACACTCAAAAAGCATCTGGACCAATATAAAGTCACCCCTGCATAAAAGTAAAAGATCGTCTATAAAACTCAATTGAATGAGTTGCATTTTTGCATATCTCTTGTCTTTGGAGTTGTTAATTGAAAATGATCTCTAAAAAGAAAATTTACATGTTATAGCTAACTTTAGGAGTGTTTATCGATTTTTTTCTTAAAAAAAATAAATCAATTAAGTCGGGTTTTCAAATATTAGAACCAAATCAAACCAATTAACTTGGTTTTTTATAGGTTATTTTATGTCGATTTTTGTTGGTTTTTCGGTTATTTTGGTTTCTTGTTTGTTTTTTCCTTAAATATAAGACATTTGCTAAGTAGATCTTCGGCCAACTATATTCTAGCACAACATTATCAAACCAATTATTCTTTAAATAAATTTGTAATTTATTAAGATATATTGATAGTATGATGAGTAATTTAGGGACTCAATTAAAGACAAGTTATTTTTAATATGAAATAGATTCTTGGACTTAACAAAATAAAACTACCATCAAACTAGAATATAAAGGCAAAGAACTTAATTATTATCACAACAAAGAACTAGACTACCAACTAAGAGTACAAACGATTAAATATCTATCATATTTTTTTATATAAATATATACATATAAATGTGTAATAATAAAATTTTAAATAAGTATTTCTATAGTTGGTTTGGTTCGATTTTTTCGATTATTTTGTACTTAAAACCGAAATCAAACTAAATTTAATCAATTTTAAAATTCAAAATCAAACTAAAATATTATTGACTTGGCAATGGATAATCCGATAATAAAGGTAGAAATAGAATTTAGTTAGATTAATATAGTATACCCAATATGAATGGAAATCTTCTATATCTATATCTATATATTATTAAAAGGAAGGAAATTTGGCATAGGATTGTGACAAGTGACGGACTAAGAAAATGACACGTGTTAGTTTTTAGGACAAAAAGTAGTTGTTAGGAGTAATCTATATATCAATATATTATTAAAAGGAAGGACGATTGACATAGGATTGTGACAAGTGGCGGACTAAGAAAATGATACGTCTTAGTTTTTAGGACAAAAAGTTATTGTTAGGAGTAATAATTAGTTATTAGTTAAAGTTATCTATATCTTCTATCTATATATTATTAAAAGGAAGGACGATTGACATAGGATTGTGACAAGTGGCGGACTAAGAAAATGATACGTGTTAGTGTTTTTAGGACAAAATGTTGTTGTTAGGAGTAATAATTAATTATTAGTTAAAGTTATCTATATCTTCTATCTATATATTATTAAAAGGAAGGACTATTGACATAGGATTGTGACAAGTGGCGGACTAAGAAAATGATACGTGTTAGTTTTTAGGACAAAAAATTATTGTTAGGAGTAATAATTAGTTATTAGTTAAAGTTATCTATATCTTCTATCTATATATTATTAAAAGGAAGGACGATTGACATAGGATTGTGACAAGTGGCGAACTAAGAAAATGATACGTGTTAGTTTTTAGGACAAAAAGTTGTTGTTAGGAGTAATAATTAGTTATTAGTTAAAGTTATCTATATCTTCTATCTATATATTATTAAAAGGAAGGACGATTGACATAGGATTGTGACAAGTGGCGGACTAAGAAAATGATACGTGTTAGTTTTTAGGACAAAAAGTAGTTGTTAGGAGTAATAATTAGTTATTAGTTAAAGTTATCTATATCTTCTATCTATATCTATATATATTATTAAAATGAAGGAAGTTTGGCATAGGATTGTGACAAGTGGCGGACTAAGAAAATGACACGCGTTAGTTTTTAGGACAAAAAGTAATTGTTAGGAGTAATAATTAGTTATTAGTTAAAGTTAATATTTTTTATTAAAATTATAATTAAAAATAATAAAATAACTTTTTTTAAAGTAACGATCGTAGAATAGGAAGAAAAATTTAACAGTTTGTAAGTAGTGGTGTCCTAACCGCTTGCAAAATAAAAACCACATTTCTTTGGCAAGTGATTGTACTGTTTACGCAATAATAAAATTGAACAATTAGTTTTTAATTATTGGTCTTCATAGAACATATTTTATTTAAAATAATTAAATATTTGATTTAATTAATATTAATAATATATAGATATAGCCTTTAATTTCTTGTGCATTGTGGAGGAAATGTCGAAGAAGTGGTAAAAAGAAACTGTATAAGTCAGCAAGTTTAAGGGAGAATCTCTGAGAACGTGGACTCAATATAGGATTTCAAAGTGTAATGGAATTTCCTATTTGTGGAGCACTTCATTTCCTCTCTAATTTCTCAAAGTAGTCTACTTTACATGCCAAACATGAACTTCTTTGGTTGGTAATTTCTAAATTCCCATTGAAGTGGACTATACACCTAAGGTCTCTTAATTTGTGCTCTATTGTTATTTGTTCCTGTAAGAATAACTTTATCTATAGATCCAGTTCCAAAAAGGAAGAGACGAACAAGGAAAGATGAGGAAGAATGATCTGCACAACTGCTTGTGTGACAATCAATCTCTTCTCTTCTGAAGAGAAAGCAGAAGATGAACGAAGATGCACCTATTTTTTTAGTTAAGTTCTCTACATTCTCCCCCTCTTTCTTTTAATCGTGTGTTTATTGATGATATGCCTATTTTTTCAGTTAAGTTCTCTACTTTCTCTCCCTCTTTCTTAATGAAAATCATTGAAGTGGACTAACTTCCTTTCCTGCAGATTTTGCATTTCTCAGTATGCCAATCCATTCACTGGTCTGAGCCATTTACCTAGCTAATGTGATACTTTCCTTCTGAAAGTCAGGAATGGTGATTTAGTTGTTCTATACTTGAGATTTAGCAGACGATGAGTTATTTTTCCTCTTATACTGGCTTCTATTTGTTTGTGAAATTTCGTATGTAGTGTTACCAAACATATATGAAATTAAAGGATTTTTGACATAATGTAAGGTCATTAATTTTTGTTAATGTCAATATCAGGGATGCGATAAGAACTTTTTTGTTTTCATATAAAATGAGTAATTAAGATCGTGATATTGATATTAAGTGTCAATTAAACGAGTAATTAGACTTGCTACTGTGTCACTTTAGCAAGAAATGTTACAAGATATGCTGAAATATTTGGTTCATAAAGATTTTGGGATTCAATCTGCAGGAACTTTGGAGTGAGAAATTTGAGCGATTTATATATATCACATGTTTCGCTCATTCAGTCTGTCTTCATCTTGTATTTGTATTCCTCTGTAGTAGCATCTTGTTGCTTTTACATTTGCTATAGGAATTTTGAACGGAGAGAGTACATCATCTCTGTGAAATAAATGCAGAAGATCCAAACAGATCTTTACCTAGAATTCTTGAAAATTGCATGCAGAAGTTTGAGGGTGTAACACCCCTCAAAAAAAAAAAAAAAAAAAAAAAAAAAAAAAAAAAAAAAAAAAAAAAAAAAGAGAGATACTTAAGGGCAAGGAAAGGCTTAAGCCTTGGACTAAAGTGAGATAAAAGGCTTAAAAAGCCTTAAACAAGTCAGGCTACTAAAAGAACTCTATACGAACAAAACAGAAGGTTTAAACTTCTGTTCATTCACGCAAATCTGATTCGGAAAAGAGAAACAGAACGCTAAGAAACAGAGACAACAAGATTATTTAAGCAGACAACGAAATTCTAGGTTTCTTTACAAATCACTAATTCTTGAACTCAGGTATATAAAATTCCCTATTGTCAATTATTTTAAAGTAGTAGTAGGTAAGAATTGAATAGTTAATTCCCTTCTTTCTCTGTATCAACGTTAAATTTCATATTTAGGTGTGAAACTTTGAATTTAATTAAAATGCACTGGTTGTTATAGAATCAATTATTTGACGGGTATAAATTAGACTGAGACCTACATATTGGCTCTAGGAGTTTTGAGGTGAGTTGATATAACCCTTTACTAAAGTGGTTCTACTCACAAAGACATGCCCACAAAGTATTTGATAAAATACTTTAAAGAGTCAACATGTGCTTAATTGAAACGAGTGGATATATATTGACTAGGTATATTCTAGTTAAAGCTTATGTATTTTACTCGAGAAGTATAAGCGTCTATTTTCATATTCTTATGCTTTATTACAGGATCTTACATGTTAAATGGTGCACAAGTTTCACACCAATAATGGACACAGTAGTCGTACAACAACAAGCTTACCCAATAACTTTTATTTCAAACACTTTGAGATGTGACACGTATCTACTGCCATCCTTATCTTCTGCTACTCAAAAATCCCCTACATGTCATTATATGTCCACAGAGCAGTACTATAAGACTAGTGTTGGAGTTTTATGTATGCAAAGAGATGATTACTTCGACTTTATGTTCACTTTAAAAAACAAATACTATGGCAATCACTTATCAAAGTTTTGAGAGTTAGATAGAACTTTTAAAAATACTTTGAGTAATTCTATTTCATGCTTATGCTATGTATGCACTCAAGAATATTGATATGAATATTGATAGATCACTTTTCAAACAAGATTTAGACTTCAAAGGTCACAAGAGAAGTTTTAGAAAGAAAATATTTTTGGGAGTATCCTCTATTCTGAGAAGGGGTCATCGTCCAGGACGAGGGTTCCTAACCAAGGCGTTGACTTTCTGAAACTACTTGTGCCAAAGTAGGAAGCACACGAGCTGAGGGTCTCGTTGCTGAAAATTTACTTAGCCAGGCTAAGGTATGATACATGAGTGCTGAGAACCATAAAGCGAGTGGCACCTCGTGAATTGGACCTATTCGATCAGGTTGGGATCGAACTCGTGCCGATCACACGGTGACTAAGACAGAATTAAGTCAGGATAGTTAGAACTCCCGAAGTATAAAGTGAAGTATTTTTTTTCTAAGAAAGAAAAAGAAAAGAATTTCTTTTAGAATATTCATAAACTGCAAATATGCAATTATTTTAGAATTGTTCTTAGAAGATTTATGTTTTTCATTCATTTAGAATCTTTGCTCGTAATGTATATTTTATTAAAGTTTCATCCCCTGTCATTGAGACTCACTGAGTACAATGGATGGTACTGACGTTCTCTTTTGGGAACCTACGTTGGTCTGCGGTACAACGTAGGAACCGATTTTGCAGGCGAGCAAGCTACGGGTTAGGACTTCCCTCTCTTCCAGTGTTATTGGTGAGCTCCGCTTTTGTTCGTGGAGTATTCCTTTGAGTCATATTTATGTAGTTATATTTCTTTGTTTACTTGAAGAACTAGCCAAACAATCTCATGTCCTGAGCAGTGCGTCAGTTTATCAGTAGAGGCTTCATAGACACAGTCGGTGGATTAAGATTCAGATATTTTTGATAATAACTTAGCAGTATTTCAGTAGTTACTACGAATAAAGTTTTGGAGTTGGTTTATTTTAGATATTCAAATTAATTAAAAGTATTTGGTTAAAGTATTTCCTTTGTTGCATATAAATTTTGAGGTTATAATAGTTTTGATAAGTACAGATGGTTTGCTCGGTCAAATTTAGCGACCAGGTGCCGGTCACGGCTTATTCAGAAAATTGGTCGTGACAAACTTGGTATTAGAGCATCAGGTTTATGGAGTCCTAGGGTTCTATGAAGCCGTGTTAGTAGAGTCTTATTTATGGGTATCCATACTTATAAGTAGGAGGCTACAAGCATTTAGGAAAAGTCTCATTTTTTTCATACTTTAGATCGTGCAGTAGAGCCTCCCTCTAAGAAATTATCTAATGTATTCGCTTTTCCAAAACTCACAGAAATGGCTCGTACAAGCAACTCTAACACCGACACTCAGGATGCTGCTCAAGAAACTATTGCTACTATTGTGGCTCAAGGTAGAACTAAGAAGGCTTCAACTCAGAAAAGGAAGGGTAAATCTATAAAGGGCGTTCAAGTACCCCGGGTTGAACATGAAGAAGGGGTGGAGCATGATGAGCAAGTAACCCAGGATCTAGTGCCACCCCCAACAGCAATTCCAGCTCAGAGAACTATATCTCCAGAGGTGGGTCAGATATTTAATGTTGTCAACAGTGCTCTAGAGATGTTTAAAGCCTTCATGGCCAACCAGAACGAGAGAAGAGATGAGATTCCACCTCAATCAAATAGACTGAACAATTCTAAGTCCTCAAGAGTGAATGAATTTTTGAAGTTGAGTCCTCCATTGTTCCATGGTTCTGTAGCTGATGAAGATCCAATATTGTGGCTGGAGGGTGTCAAGAAAGCCCTCCGAGCGATGAAGGCATTTGATGATGAAGCTGTGAAGCTGGTTGCTTACCAGCTTAGAGATGTGGCTGGCTCTTGGTTTGAGATGTGGGAAAAGGAAAGAGATGAAGATGATGATCCGCCTACTTGGGAAGAATTTGAAGAGGCTTTCATGGCTAACTTTATCCCGGAAGAGGATAGGGAAGCTAAGGCTACAGAGTTCGAACAGCTCAAGCAAGGGAATAAAAGTGTGCAAGAGTACTACATGGAACTCATAAGGTTGGCTAAGCATGCTCCTCACATGGTTAAGACAGAAAAAGCAAAGATTCGCAGGTTTGTTGGCGGTTTGGCTTATCACATTAAGGATACGATATTAGTTGCAGCGGTAGGAATGACAACTTTCTCCTATGTTGTGGGATTTGCCAAGAACTTAGAAAAAGACAGACAACAAAGGAGAGAAGAAAAAGAGCATAACAAGAAAGCTCGGACAGCGGGCAGGTTTAATGGTACGTCCAGCGGAAGTAGAAGGGGTTCCTCCAATAAGGAGTCATTAGCACCAGCTCAGTCCAGTCATCAGTCAGGTGGTGGGTCTTTCTTTAGATGTACTCAGAGTTATGGAAACCAGTCTCGCCAGAATTAGAATTTTAGGACATCATCCTCACATAGCCAGAGTCATGCTGAGCAACATTCACAACAACAAGGTCTTTGCGGAACATGTAAGAGGAGACATTCAGGTCAGTGCAAGCTCGGATTTCATGGTTTCTATCATTGCAGAGACATTGGTCATATAAAGGCCAACTGCCCAAAGTTGCGACGTATTTTTAGTGGGGGATCAACTCGTCCTTCTAGTTCCTCAGCTACTACAGTTGCACCATCACAAGCTCGTGGTTCTCATAATCAGGTCGGGCATAGAGCAGGCAGAGGTGCAGATCGAGTTACTCAGGGAGGGGGACAACCCCGTTTGTTTGCTACACTTGATCGTCAGAGTGCAGAGGCATCCGCAGAAGTTATTACAGGTATACTTCTAGTCTGCTCACATAATGCTTATGCCATAATTGATCCAGGTTCAACGTTTTCATACGTGACTCCATACTTTTCAATTAATCTCGGGCTAGAACCTGAACAACTTAGTGAGCCATTCCTAGTATCTACTCCAGTTGGCGAGTCAGTGGAAGCCACATAAGTTTATAGAGGTTGTATAGTTTCAGTCTAAGGTCGCAGCACCGAGGCCAATCTCATAGAGCTAGAAATGGTGGATTTCGATGTGATCATGGGTATGGATTGGTTGTCTTCTTGCGATGCCATGTTGGATTGTCGTGCCAAGATAGTTAGGTTCCAATTTCCAAATAAAGAAGTCTTAGAGTGGAAAGGTAGTTCAGCATCGCTTGTAGGTAAGTTTATTTCTTACCTTAAGGCACAACGAATGATCGGTAAGGGGTGTCTCGCCTATTTGACTCCCATCATTAATCCAGAATCGGAACCACCAGCTCTTCAGTCTGTGCCAGTTGTTAGAGAATTTCCAGAAGTTTTCCCATATGACCTTCCCGGACTTCCTCCTAAAAGAATCATAGACTTTGGCATTGATCTTATGCCAGGCACTCAACCCATATCTATACCTCCTGATAGGATGGCTCCAGCATAACTTAATGAGTTGAGGGAACAGTTGAAAGACCTTTTTGACAAGGGCTTCATCAGGCCGAGTGTTTCACCGTGGGGGGCCCCGATCCTGTTTGTCAAGAAGAAAGATTGGTCTCTCATAATGTGCGTCGACTATCGGTAGTTGAATAAAGTTACCATTAAGAACAAGTACCCACTGCCAAGAATTGATGATTTATTCGATCAACTTCAGGGTGCAAAGTACTTTTCAAAGATAGACTTGAGGTCGGAGTACCACCAGTTGAGAATCATAGAAGAGGATATATCTA